TGCGTTTTAGGAGAGAGCAAAAGACAGGTATGTGAGGTAGAGGTTAGTCTTGGAGGCCATAAGCTTTCCTAAAGAGATGAGTTTTAAGGTACTTCTTAAAAGATTCAAGACTAGGGGAGAGTCTGATGGAGGTAGGTATTCCATAGGAAGGGAGCCGCCCGCGAGAAGTCCTGCAAGCGTGAGTTGGCCGTACGGGTGCAGACAACAGACAGGAGCTGGTCACTGGTAGAGCGGAGAGACCGAGAAGGTACATACCTATGGATCTCTGAGGAGATATAAGAGGGGCTAGAGTTGTTCAGTGCTTTATAGGTGTGAATTAGTACCTTGAATTGACTCCCATAGCATACAGGAAGCCAATGTAAGGAATGGCAGAGGGGTGAGGTGTGAGAGAACCGACTAGAGAGGAAAAACAGTCTGGCAGCAGCGTTCATTACAGACTGTAGTGGTGCAGTACGGCTTTTGGGAAGACCAATCAGGAGAGGGTTACAATAATCCATGCGGGAAATTACTAGAGCATGGACAAGCTCCTTGGTAGCATCTTGTGTAAGAAAAGGGCGGATGCGGGCTATGTTTTTAAAATGGAATTTACAGGATTTGGCAATATGCTGGATGTGAGGCTCAAAGGGGAGGCCAGAATCAAGTATGACTCCAAGACATCACGCTTTTAAGGATGGACTGATGTGGGTACCACAAACTTTAAGGGAGAGCGAAAGAGGAGGATCAGTATTAGGAGGAGGAAAGACAAGGAGCTCAGTTTTAGAATGATTGAGTTTCAGAAAGCGGGAGGACATCCAGTCAGAGATGGAAGAAAGGCAAGCAGTGACACGTTGCAGGATGGCAGGTGAGAGATCCGGGGTGGAGAGATATAATTGAATGTCATCAGCGTACAGGTGGTAGTGGAATCCAAAAGAGGTAATAAGTTTGCCAAGAAAGGCAGTATAAAGAGAAAATAGAATTGGACCAAGGACAGAGCCTTGGGGGACTCCAACCATGACAGAACGAGGGGAGGAGGTATCATTAGAAAAGGAGACACTGAATGAGCATTGGGAGAGATAAGAGGATAACCACGAGAGGACAGAGTCACAGAGGCCAAGTGATTGAAGAGTTTGAAGAAGGAGAGCATGATCAACGGTGTCAAAGGCCGCAGAGAGGTCAAGAAGAATTAGTATGGATTAGTGGCCTTTGAATTTAGCTGCGATTAGGTCGTTAGTAACTTTGATAAGCGCACTCTCAGTAGAGTGGAGAGGGTGGAAGCCAGATTGAAGAGGGTCAAGGAGAGAGTTGGAATTGAGGAAATGAGACACACGGGTAAAGACAAGTCTTTCCAGAAGTTTTGAGGAAAAAGGGAGCAGGGATATGGGATGATAGTTAGAGGGGGTGGACGGGTCGAGGTAAGGTTTTTTTAGTATAGGTACTGCAGCGGCATTTTTAAGGTCAGCAGGAACAATGCCAGAAAAGAGTGCAGTTGAAGATGTGCGTTAAGGAAGGCATGAGACAAGTGGAGAGAGATCTAATAAGGTGAGATGGGACAGGATTGAGCGGGCAAGTGGTGGGGCGAGAGGAAAAGAGAAGAGCAGCCACCCCTTTGTCAGTAGCTGGGGAGAATGTCTGAAGGGTAGGAAAGGCATGATCTATGTGTGGTTGACAGGGCCGTCTTTAATATTGATTGGGCCCTGGGCAAGCATTTGATGGGGCCCCCTGACCCCCACTCCCTGACATGCAATCACGCTCTCCACTTCCCAACGCAGTAGCGGAACCATTTTCCCATGCTTGCAGAGTTGTATTTAGCACTGAGGTGTGTTTATGTGTTTGAATGGAAGCATGTTTTTGTATGGAGTATGTTTGTGTAAATGTAGGGGTGTGTTTGTAGGTGTTGTTGGTGTTTGAATGCAAGCATGCATCTATGTGTAGTTGTTTTTGCTTTTTAATGCTGGGGTGTGTTTATATATATTTTTGGTGTTTAACACAAAGATGTGTTTATATGTATTGTTGACGTTTCAATTCAGGACTGTGTTTGTATGTAGTGTTGAAGGTTGAATGCAGGGGTGTACTTGAGTGTAGTGTTGGTGATTTGAATGATGAGATGTATGCACATGTACACATACACTGCCACACACACACACACACACACACACACACACTGTGATACTCATACACACACACACACTGAAACACATGCAGACACACAGATATAAACATTGACACTCACACTAACACACATGCAGATACAGACTGACACAGATACACACACTAACACATACAGACACACAGATACACAACCTGACACACATACAGAGACATATATACAAACACTGACACATATGGATACTCAGACACACTGACGCATATACTGACATACATGCAGATACACAGATAAAAACACTGACTATATACAGATGCACACACAGATATACACACGCAGGTACACACACTGTCAACATACAGATACACAAATACATACAATGATAACATACAGATACACAAACTGACACACATACAGATACGCAGATACACCATCTGACACATATGCAGATACACACATACCACATAGAGAAACATAGATATACTAAATACAGATACAGAGATATACTCACACACATACTAAGACACACTGACAGACATACTGACACACTGACAGACTGACATACACACACAGAAACCCTGACAGACACAGACAGTCCAGCTGTGTAAAATGAGGAATAGATATAATGGGGCACAGGGCAGTGCTGAAATGTAGCTGGAGGTTTTAATGACAGTAATTTCACCCATAACATAAAAGGACATAATGTCATTGGAAGACAATGCAAAATAATTACAACATGAAGCTATTGGAGCATCTATAAAACCTTATGCAAACCTAAAATGGACATTGGCATGCATGAAAGCAATTCCCCTCTGGATTTAAAATGGATTCAGGCACAAGAATTAACCTGATATTGCAGGCATTTGTAAACAATCTATAAATATGTATAACAATTGGTCATTAAAGCCATATGTAAAGCCATCATCACATGCATATGCAATTCACTGTATATAACAAACACACAGAAAAGCAGATCACTGTATAAAAAAAAAAAACAACAACAACAATCTCAATACATTGCAATGTGATTTTTGTAGCCCAAGTCTTCACACCCTCCAAACTACTTAGCATGTACACTTTATAACTTTCAGATATACAACCAGGATAGGTAAAAATCTGTGCTCTAACCCTCCAGCCTACCTTATGGGTTCCCTGGGGTCCAGTTGCAGGCTGATGTCGTTGGGAGTGTGAGGCTCCTGCACTCCAGCTCCTTCCTGACAGCCTCCTCCTCCTCCATCCCGCGCGGTTTCAGTCTATCTGGGAGGAAGTGACTCACGGCAGTCACTTCCTCCCAGCCTGCTGCAGTAAAACAAGGGGGCCCCTCTTAGTGTGTGGGCTCCCGGTGCAGCATCTGCACCGGCGGGCCCATGGGGAAATTTTTTTTTTACGGACAGCGGGGCCCAAGGGGTAGCTGCATTGGGCCCCCCAGGAGTGAGTGGGCCCGGGGCAGCTGCCCCATTTGCCCCGCTTTAAAGACGGCCGTGGTGGTTGAGAAACAGAATGGCAAGGAGGGGAGAATTCTTTCCTTAGCTGTTCAATCTTGTCAGTAAAGTAACATACAAAGTTATCAGCAGTAAGGTTAGTTTGGGGGGTGGCCACAGCAGAGCGAAGAAGAGAATTAAAGGTGTCAAAGAGATGTCTGGGATTGCAGGAGCATGAACTAACGAGAGAGGAAAAATAGGACTGTTTGGCAAGGCCAAGGGCTGAGCTGTATAAACACAATATGAGAATGGAGAAAGTCTGGCTGGGTGTGAGACTTACTCCAGGAGCGTTCAGCACAACGGGAGCATCTTTACAGGTAGCGTGTTGATTTAGTATGCCATGGTTAGGGGCGGGTCCTCCTCGAGATAAAGATGTTCAGACTTTAAGATGCCATCTTGACCGAAGTCAGGAAATTTTCTATGACGTGTACACCCTTTAGTTATGGCCTTGTATTTTTGCCAAGTTAAGGGAGGTCCTAAAATGAATAATAGTAAAATTAGTTACTTTTTCATATATGAACTACAGTGACCCTAAAATGAAGACACTTAAGGTATAAATAGGTGTACTTTTAAATGTTAAGGAACAGAGGAGAGATTTGGAGACAGACGCTCCATCTTAAAATGACAGAGAGGCTGACATGATGACATGTTCAGGAGGGCATGTTAATCTATTAAAGGACCACTATAATGCCAGGAAAACATACTCATTTTCCTGGCACTATAGTGCCCTGAGGGTGCCCCCACCTTCAGGGTCCCCCTCCCGCCAGGCTCTGGGGAGAGGAAAGGATTAAAACTTACCTTTTTTCCAGCGCCGGGCGGGGAGCTCTCCTCCTCGCCACCTCCGATCCTCCCCTTCGGCTGAATGCGCACGTGCGGCAAGAGCTGCATGCGCAATTCAGCCGGTCTCATAGGAAAGCATTCATAATGCTTTCCTATGGACGCTTGCGTGTTCTCACTGTGATTTTCACAGTGAGAATCATGCAAACGCCTCTAGCGGCTGTCAATGAGACAGCCACTAGAGGATTTGGAGGCTGGATTAGCCCATTTATAAACATAGCAGTTTCTTTGAAACTGCTATGTTTTAAAAAAAAAATGGGTTAACCCTAGCTGGACCTGTCACCCAGACCACTTCATTAAGCTGAAGTGGTCTGGGTGCCTAGAGTGGTCCTTTAATGATATCTTATAAACTCTGCTATAAATTATTGTAATGGATTTTATATGTCTATATTTATATTTTTATATAATAAATGTCTAAAAAGACAAAACTTTATTTCTTCCAAGACAATTGTAGATTATGCTAACGTAGTGTACCTAAAATCTTAATTTTAATAAATACAGGAGGCGAGTATTTTGCATAACTTTCTTTACTTATGCCTCCAGCAGCACAAGTCAATCAATCAAAAACTTTAAACCGGGGGGGGCGGTGCCGGACCGCCATGCTGACCAGTCTCATGCAGGAGAGGCTCCGGAGAAATACTGCAAATACTGCAACTCTGATACCCGCATGCAACCCAAAGCAAGTACCCGCTGCGGACAAAGCAGCAGAACCCGAGATCGGGAGTTTTGGATCCCCAGAGGGAGGCACGAAACTTCTGGGACTGAGGCCTACTCGGGAGGGAGCGGGGTGGACGGCCGCTGCCTGTTCTCCCTACCCGGACACCACAAGCCGACCTCATGTAATGCCTGTCGGTCCCATTCCCCTCCCCATATCGGGAAGTGTGGAGACCACGAGGCAGGATGCTCCCGGGGCCAACCTGCTAAGATGGCGACGGCACGGGGCACAACACCAGCAGCTCCCGCCCTATGAAGCCCCAGGGGAAACATACAACCACAAGATCAGCCCAGCGGTGAGTCCTCTACTAGTCTTTGCCGGGTGAACAAAGCAAGCCCCCGGCTTACACAGACACCAAGCCCACCCAAAGAAACAGAATGCCTCCCAACTGGGACAAGGGAAACTCTGCTACTGCCATGACTAAACAGCCACCTCAGACCTGCGATAGCACCTTCAGATGGTGGATTTTACATCTCCAGAGACTACCTTATGGCACAGTATGCCACTACAGAGCCCGCCTGGCCCCACACAGATGCCTGCAGGATCACAGCAGTTGGCTGATGACAGCACAAAGAGCAACCATCGCAGGGGCACCAAAGTGTGGCCTGGAGGAACAACTGGAGGGGCTAGCTTGAGTCCCGAAAATTCAGGACAGCTTTCCCTATACAGGACTCACTTGCCATGCAGCATTGCAGACGACACCGGACCATGTGACATAGCAGAAGAACACTACACTGAAATGTACCCTGCCTGTCTTGCTAGCACGCTAGGCTACTTAACATGCAATCTTTCACTCTGCCTAACACACTCTGCCTGCTACTCCACCACTCAGAGACCTCCCTCCACTATCACTACACAGTCACCTTGCTCACTGTAGGTGCACTCATGATTAGCAATCTATACCTGAGCTTACATAGTCTGAGTACCCACCACTCACATAACGACCATATAAACATGTATGCATCGACTAGCTACTCTACAAAAGTTCCACTCAATTATCACAAGCCTGTTACCTTTCACAAAAATTAAATGTGCTGATAACTCTGCCATGATATTGTATGCCACTGAATAGCTTGTACTCGTGGCACTACAAGCTTGTCTGTAATATTGTGCACAAGGAAAAATAAAGAATTTTAAAAAAAAATACTTTAAACCAATCAGAATCCAGTATAGTATGCATATAAATCCCTGACAGGCATCTCACTTCCTCTTTCTTTGATGCGAAACAGTTTATGAAAACGTCAGGGAATACAACAAAACTTCTATAAAACTTTAACAACTGTATCTTGGGTCGAAACATGAAGGGATCCTGTTAATCCAACTCCCGAACCATGAAGGTTGTTATGCGGAAAAGAACAGAAATAAGTGAAAGGTGGTGGAAAACAACTTGTGTCCACCTAAAAGGTATATTTATAATCTTTGAAGTTTAATAGATATAGCATAATACTACTGAATAATTGACTATGCGTCATAACTACAGTGTAAGTCATAACTTGTAAAATGTAATAATGATGCCTCCTAGCTATAACACGATCTAAGCGTCCTATAATGCAACTCCTCATGTAACATAATTAAATGTATACAATATAAATAATAATTGTGGCGGAACCAGCCTCGCCACTGGGCATTGGAGAAGACTGATTTCCAGCCTCCTGCCCTGTGACTATGGCCCCATTTTGAAATGCTTGATTTTCCCCTGCAAAGACCCGAAAGCCAGGTCATTCGGTACTTTTCCTATGTGAGCAGTGTTACCCCAGATAGCTATGCAATGGAGCCCATTCGTATAAAGAAAGACTATGTGAAAGACTTTGGCTTCATGGCAATTGAACTGTATGTATGTGATTTGTGCGCCATTCGGTAATAATGTGCGCTCAGATCTAAGCTATCTGGGGATATGTTGAATGTGGCCCCTTTAAGTAAATGTTGTACTCACAAGATGTTGTAATGTTAAAAGCCAATCAGAATGTCTTTAAATATTTAGCCACCAACTGAAAGACATTCTGATGGGCTTTTAACATTACAACATCTTGTGAGTGCAACATTTACTTAAAGGGGCCACATTCAACATATCCCCAGATAGCTTAGATCTGAGCGCACATTATTACTGAATGGCGCACAGATTACATACAGTTCAATTGCCATGGAGCCAAAGTCTTTCACATAGTCTTTCTTTATACGAATGGGCTCCACAGGGCAGGGGCCACATCTTTGACTTTATAGTGTTGCCCTATGAATTTTTCTCTGTCCTGATTTTTTAGGTGTATCTTATATTCTTATATTCTATATTTCTATATTTGCATTTTGAGGACCTTTGAGGAACCCTCTTGTTACTACCTGATTTATAAGGGAAGTAATAACCTTTATTGTAATTTTTTATGCTGCACCTGGGTGGTCTACATTTTTATATAGATATGTTGAATGTACCTGTTTTATGCAATAGCTGCACAGTTATATATTTTTATGTATTTTATTGTATTTTGCTACCATGTGGCTAATGGAGTTTTGCCTCTGTCCTTGGACGTTGATCTAACTTTTGACACACTGGACCAATTTGTATGATTTTGCAGTATGTTGGTATTTGGAGTATGCTGATTCTGAAAATGTAAGTTTATGTGAATGTGATGCATACCTTTAACGTTATGAATATTGTGTAAAACTGTGTGTTTTCCTGCCTGTGATAATTATATTAACCCATTGTGTAAGATAATTGTATCACAGGCAGAAAGGAGGATTTTGTGTGGGAGTGTCTGAGTGTATTGTACGTGTTTATTGGTTGTTCTTCAAAACCCTGTGGTCAGTACTATGTTTGTAGAATGTGAATAAAAGAGGCTGTATGGGCCAGAACAGTCAGTTCTACTTCACCCTCAATTTGGAGTGTCGTCTCTTATTGGGGGAATCTGCTACAAGGGATTGCTATGCTTGTCATACTCCCTTGCTAAATCACTACTTAGCTCTTGTAAGAGCTTGTTCCTGCCTTGCTCTCTGGGGGAATCTATGGTGGTTATGGTGTCTGCTTGAGAACATTCGTATGCTTCTCCGGTTCGGTGGTTGTGGTGTCTGCTGCAGTGCTTGGAACCCTCAGGAAGCGCTAGGAGCATCCTTCAACGGAGGTACCCAGTCGGGTTGCCAGGTGATCCGTTACACTAAGCTCTTGTAAGAGCTTGTTCCTGCCTTGCTCTCTGGAGGAATCTATGGTGGTTATGGTGTCTGCTGGAGTGCTTGGAGCCCTGAGAAAGTGCTAGGAGCATCCTTCATCCTTCCTTTGCCTTAGATGAAATCTTCTTTCTTCCAGTCTAAACGCATGACCTCGTGTCCTATGTAAAGTCCGGTTTGTGAATAGATTTCCACACAATGGTTTGTATTGACCCCGAATATATTTGTATAATGTTATCACATCCCCTCTCAGACAACGTTTTTCTAAACTAGATAGGTTTAAATTTGTTAACATTTCTTCATAGCTGATATGTTCCATTCCTGGTATTAATTGTGTAGCCCGTCTCTGCACTTTTTCTAGTGCCATAATATCCTTCTTTAGAACAGGTGCCCAAAATTGCACAGCATATTCAGTATGTGGTCTTACCAGTGATTTATAAAGAGGCACAATTATATTCTCGTCTCGAGAATGAATGCCCTTTTTCATGCATGACAATACCTTACAGGCCTTGGCCAGTACTGATTGACATTGCACATTGTTGCATAGTTGTCTATAACAATTCCTAAGTTCTTTTCGTGTGTTGTTATCCCTAATTCGCTTTCATTAAGGATGTACATTGCTTGTGTATTCTTTACGTCGAAGTGCATAACTTTGCATTTTTCAACATTAAATTTAATCTGCCATTTGAGTGCCCAGTCCCCCAGTCTATCTAAATCCCTCTGCAGCAAAGTAATATCTTGCTCACGTTGTATTATTTTACAGCGTTTTGTGTCATCTGCAGACACTGATACATGACTTTCAATGCTTTCTTCAAGATCATTTATAGACATGTTAAATAGAAGGGGTCCCAGAACAAACCCCTGAGGGACACCACTTGCCACCTCTGTCCAGCTTGAAAATGTACCATTAATGACAACTCTTTGTACTCTATTTTTAAGCCAATGTTCTACCCAAGAACAAGCATTTTCATCTAGACCAATTTCCTTGAATTTGAACACTAATCTATTGTGTGGAACACCATGATCTATACTTCTAAAGTTTTCTGGTTTAAAGTTTTTTGATTGATTGACTTGTGCTGCTGGAGGCATAAGTAAAGAAAGTTATGCAAAATAGGAAGCCTCCTGTCATTTAATAAAATCCTTATTTTATATTTTATTCTCAATTATTTATATATGTTAAATAGAGGATCTCTTACTAACTATATACAATTATAGCTAAGATATCTGTATGGTTAGCCCTGCTAAGTTCTATGCTTTAAAACGTTATAGTGGTAAATAAGGGAACTAGCCTTGGTTACAATTGGCGCCCAACGTGGGGCTTGTAATTGGAAGCATTAACTATAACTTAAAAAATAACTAGGTAACCTCTTATAGGTAAGAGAAGACACAATACTTTGTCATGGCACAAGTCTTGAAATATCAAGAATCTAATGAGCTATTTGTAGCCCAGACTCAGAGAGAGATCTTCATCATGAAGAGATGATTTTAATGTGAACTTGTACAAGGCACTTTAAGTTCAGGTGCCAGGTACATTGTAATTAGCATACAATGCTGAAATTGTGGATCTTAATATCATAAGAGAACAAATATACATATTTGGTAAACTTCCTAATATGCCTAATACACCAGCATAGCATGGTCCATTAGTTCCAGGACAGTGGGTTGTAGGCATGGGACCATGTTCTCTTTGTAGCTGCATAGTTTGCATGCGCAGAAAAAAAGATTAATGCAAGATGTTGTCAAAAGAAAAGTGATAAGACAAAGCGATGAAAGACTTGCTATTATATTACTAATAGATTTCGAAAGTCTAATTCCAAGAACGCAAAGAAAATTGCACTATGGCTTAATGAAAACATTCATGCCACAGAAGCAACAGACAGACAGGATTTTTAATTATTGCATTACTGCCTTCTGGAGTATAATATCCACTATATATGAAATGTTTTATAAAACAGTGATAATTTCCATATTGTCATTTACACTAGCTGTTGATTAAAAATCAGGAATTATAACTGCATAACTATTTTTGGAGTCTGGAGTTTCCAGCCAAGGTTGCAGAGATACAGAGACATGTAAACATTGCTTCCATTCCAAGGAATTGAGAGGTCGCTTTTTTTTTTATATTCCAAATTATGAACAACTTTATTACATACAGCCATAAAGAGAAAGATA